CACTGTTTAAAAAAGTAGACGTACGCATTTTTTGTAAAGTTGTTAGGCAATTACAAATTCATGGTTAGTTTGACAAATCTATCCATTGACATTTTTATCTTATTCTCATTTCATGCCTTGACTCTACCTAAATGTGGAACCCTCACTGGTACGGAGTTCTAACTCAGTTGGAAAAGCAATCAGAAACTTTTTCTATGCAATTGCACACGCCGAGTGAGATCGGAACGATAGCGAAAACTTATAATTGGATTATATTAATGCATCATTGAACATTGGAGGCATAAGAGCACTTATTTATCAAACCCTGACGCAATAATAGTACTATATTATGTTGATGCGTCTTTAAATGTCTGTACTTTTGTAGCTACACAAATTAACAGATTTTAATTTCATTATTTTTTGAAAAGATTGAAGGAAACATGAATGGATAGTATTAAAGAAAATATGCATAAGAAGGGAATTAATTTAAATACAACGACTGAAAGAAGAAACAAGAAATGTTTGTAAGAGTAGTACATATTGTGTTGAACCTCCGTAGGGAAAGGATAAATGTGTATCTATTTTTGTTTTTAAATGTTTATAAAAAGATCGAGACAAAGTCATAGATTACGAGTATATAGTCTAAATTGAATACCTTTATTACTTAATTAATTTATTTGCAATGAGCATCGATTGAAACGTTTAAATAAATATTGTACCAATACAGTCGTTCAGTCTGTAGTCGGATTGTGAAAACAAACTGTTAATTAACTTTAGTTTTAATTAAACGACACGACTCTGTAATTAAACGCTCCGTTAAAAGATCCATCGCCACGCCAGAGTCGAGAGACCGATCAGAATGACCATTTCTATTTTAATTTCACTAAAGTTTATTTCAAATTGAGATTTAAAAGAATTCAACATTTACTATAAACGTATTATTACTATAGAAGACATAAAGGCGTCTATTGCCTATATGATTTTAGAATTTAATTAAAATTATTATGGGAAATGTTAGTTTTACTTATAAATGGTTTCACCTAATAAATAAAGTCATTGGTTTAGGTTCGGTTTTAAAATTTACAATTTCGATTGTCAAAAAACACAATCAGTAATTTCTGAAAAAAAAATATGATAGGAATTTGTACTCCAGGTTACTGGAGTTGTGTTTAAATTACGTAAATCTATTTTTTACCTATCTTAATCGCTGCTTAGTCTATGGTTGTAAAAAGCAATATAAATTCATGACCTATCAATAAATGTATGATGTTTTACGAGCGAAGTTGATACAATGAACACGCATTTCATTTGCAGCCTACTTCTCTATTCATAGTTCGGCGACTGTTTATTTTATGTTTGTACATAAAATTTATTTATCTTACTCAAGTTATTTACCTATTTACGTTCACAATGAAAAGGATAAAGTCGTACTTTATTTTTCGTAATCTTCTAAATGTTATTGACAATGGCTCAATAACCATATAAAAAAAAACTCAGTAGAAATACATAGACTTTGACATGTAGCAAAAGGTATATTAAATCTCCCTATACAATAATTTTAACATTCAATTTAATTAAACGACGGTGCAATATTCTCTAAAGGAGGTCAGGAACGACGTAACCAAACGACATAAAACAAAACTAGAGTATTTAAAATAGAAAAACTTATTCTAAACCTCTGTTCTTGTCATAAGTGACGTCACAGATAAGTATCAAGCCCACCATCTAAGTTGTTGACGTCATTCGCAAGAAATATCACACAAATCACCGCAACAATACTGTCAACGGCGACAATATTTATAGCTCTTGCACACTGCACGCCTGCTGACAGATTTCAGATGTTTTTATCAATATTAAACTAGAAATTTACCTACTTTAAAAAAATAATTATGTACTATATTAGTTTTCCAAGGATTTTTCCTTTCCTTTTCTCTTTTACTTTTGAAATGTATTTATTCTTTCTTCCACAATTGAAAACTTCTGAGATATTGAAACAATATTTTTCCGATGTTCTGGGTTGCATTTAGAAATACTTAGTAGTCAAAGAATTTGGACTACTGTTAGAATTTTCTTTGGGCAACAATTGCGTGAAAAACAAGCGAAACGGAGCAAACATTTAGCGGACTCAAGTCTAACAAAGAAAAATAAAGGAGTAAGAATATTGCACAAGTAATATTTCGCTAGAATCAGTGTACCTTGTAAACGTATATTTTCTTAACGACCCACATACTTTAACATTATTATAATAATCAACAAACTGGAAATATTTAACGAGCTTCTTATAAATATTATCCTATTTCTACTTATTTATGATAATTGCTAGTCATAATTTATTTATTAAGAGATATTATAGAAAATACTACAAAAGTTTTATTACACTAGCTTTCACCCTCGACTCCGTCCGCGTGATATTAAAAGAAAACGAGTAGCCTATGCGTTCTTACACCATTTCCACCAACTACCATCTACATTTATACCAGATTCGAAATCCGATCAGTTTATAAACTCTAGCAAACATCCATCCATCCATTTATCCATCTCAACTTTCGCATTTATAATATTAGTATGATAATGAGGGTTTATTTGATATTGTGTGGTAATATTTTCTTATATTTAACGGTACACTAATGTAGCATAATAAAAATATTGGTGTCGTATCCGGATAAATAATGACGATATCATCGTTGCTTTTGCGAAGTTGTATCCTCAAAACAGACTTAATAAAAAAAAACTAACAAAAAGTAGGGTTTATTTTTATCAAAGGTTTATAATTTATTTAATATGATACTATGAAAGATTATCTTAATTAAAACTTCTATAAAATACGTAAAAAGACTTAACAATGATTTGATTGTAAGTACTAATAAATTGGAATGTTAATCCCGTAAGGCCACTTTTGTACAATTTTCTAACTTTGTAAATCCAGTTTAGATTTTGTTATCTTTGATGTCTCTTTTAATTCAATTAAAAGTTCTTAAAGTCAATAGAAATGAAAGGGTCCGCATTGAGCGTAAAACTTTCGATGTCTTTCGGAGAATGGCGGGACAAATCTTTCCAATTCTCTGAACGATGTTTAAAGTTAAGAAAAGGATCTTATTATACAGGGACTAATGTTTGAGTGTAAGATATTGCTTCGCATTTATGGTGCTGTTGGTAATCAATGGCGAATGTGATACAACCACGATGTATGTATAGACAAAAATCATCAAGGTCATCAAATTTAGACGATTGCGGAGTTCCTAAACGCCTTTTAGAATGTATGCCAGGTGGAAGTAAAGGCCGAAGCTTAGGTGGCTAGATGACGTCGAACGCGATGTTAAGAATATGGGCGTCAAGGACTGGGAAAAGAAGGCCTAAATAGACAAATACGTCGAAATTTACTGATGGATTTAATAATACTCATGATTATTTATTTAAAAAACAAAATGAATTTGATAATTCAGTGTTTGATTTGGAAAACGGTTATTGTACCACGGGTTGCATATTTATCTATATTTACAATAACGATTCTTGTTTGCAATATACGTAAATTAACATAACTTTTTATATTTATCTTCTGGAAATATCAACACTTGAATTTATTTTCCTTTGATAATAGTCGCAGTGATCCGGAACACAGAAATGTTTGCTGTTAATATTATCTTAGGCGTGTTTACTTCGGTTCAAAGGAAACAAAACGGTACTTTTTTTTGTAATAGATCGCAAATAAAGACGTAAAATTGTTTTGTAACGCACGGTCAAATTTTTATGTTTGAAATAAAAAGTTTCTGACAAATGTTTTTTAGAGATGGTGAGGACAAAGTAGTTATTTGTAAATGTTCGTTACATTTTCCAATTGAAAATGCACGATCTTTTTAATGAGAAAATATGTTGACGGAATCCATTTTGTATTAAATTTTATATCTTGGATCCTTAAGCGTCTGTCATTTACTTTGTAGTCAAACCCAAGTATCTTACATCTACATTAAGCACTTACTCCTTACAAAAAATATCGTTAAATAGCACTTTACTCCAAAATAACATTTCTTTGAATATTTGCAAGTGTTAAGTACATATCTCACAAAAGATAAACACGTCCTTATTTCTAAAGGAGGTTGAGAAAAGCTGCTTTCAAAGATCTCGTGCGTTGCCATGGTAACGACATTAAAGCCCCGACCAAGTTCAAAACAAATATACTAATACTGTTATAATTTCTGAGACATTTGCTGACAAATTGTAGAGTACTCTCATTTAACTTTGTCGCTATTTAAAATCTGCGAAATCTAAAAAAGTTACTTAGCTGTCCAAAATCGTACATACACATAGAAGACTAAGTATTATGCATCACTTTTCTTTAAATATATATACTTTAGGACTCTGAAACGTTTAATGATTTCTTAACAGCCACTTAGCTTAAATGCAGTGATCACTTAATGACTGAACAAGGAAGTTATGTTAATAATATCTTATCTGTGTGGTACAAAAATCTCTTGTAAGGAATTTTAAATAAAACATGGAGCCACAAATGCTGAACTCACACTAATGTAAGGGTAAATAAAAATCTAAAATGGCCGAAATGTAGAGATCTCGGTAGAGATCGACCGCGGGGAATCTTACCGTTACTAAGCAACGGTCACCGACACTTCCTTGCCGTATATTTTATTTTTAAAGAAAAAATCTTTTTTATTTGATTTATATTTTATCTATTTTATTTATACGGATAGGAAGTTTGAGAGTAGCCCCCATAGTAGAGAAGGTTAGGAGTAAAAGGTTAGCATGGTATGGGCATGTTATGAGGAGGGATGAATCGCATGTTACAAGGAGAACGTTAGTTATGAGTGTGGAAGGGTACATCGGTAGAGGTAGACCTAGAAAGAGATGGATGGATTGTGTAAAAGGTGACATGATCAAAAAGGGAGTGATGACTGAGATGACGTATGATAGAGTTATGTGGAGGACAAAAACCTGTTGCGCCGACCCTACGGGAGTAGGATAAGGAGATGATGATGATGATGATTTATACGGATATTTCCTTGTTCCAGGATATCGACTATGAAGGGTTTCGGTGGTTTCTGGATACCTTCCTCGAAGTATCAACGCCTGATGAACTCTCAAGGTCTGTTTTTATTGTCACTCGCTGCCAAGCCTTTCACAGTCATAGAGCTTTAACATTTTCGCACAAGTGGGCCGGCTAGCTAAGGAGCAATGTCAGAGAAGCATCAAGTGGATGCCATTCCGGGTTTCGGCTGATTAATGCACGTGCAGGAGACCAAATTTTAGTCTTCTTCCCCTTTCTTTCCTTTTCGTAAAATAAAAAATGGAAATGGGGAAGTGGATTTGAGAAATACTCTTTGCGTGTTGTCATTTCTCAGTTGATTGAAGGTACGCAACATATCTGCCAATATAGATGCTTATGAGCACTACATTTGCTATTTTCATAAATTCTTGTGGCTGCTTTTTCGTTTGTCACCTTATACTAATAATTTATGTAGTGGAAACTCGTAGTTACAAGATGTTAGGCAAATATGTCAGTATGCCCACGTTATAGGCACTTATTCTTGTCGTTCGTGCGACGGGATCGGCGGCCGGCGCTGCGAGAAATGGCGGCTGCTAGTTCCACCACCGCCTGTGCGCCAGTAACCTCGCATGGAGACCATCAGGTATATACGTAATTTAAACACAATTGATATAGGAAATAGAAAATCGCTTTTGTATTAAAATTAAATTATTAAATTGATTGTATTATTAATTTATTATCGAGATTATTTTAAAGTGTGTTAAAACTCCAGGGTAAATTGAGCTTAGCCTCGAAGATCCACGGACTGGCGGAGCGATTGCAACAACTGGGGAGAAGCTCTGGGGACTCCGTCGAAGGCAGTGAGAAGGGATCTCGAAGTCGTACAGGTATGATACAACTAAATAACAATAATACAGCTATTCCAACATTCCAACCTTACTATCTTCCAACATTCCAACTTTTCAACCTTCCAAGTTCCAATTTCCAACATTACCTTTAATTTTTTTAAAACATACAATAACATTTATAACTCATTGGCAGGGAGCGTGCACCCAATGTTCACGGTGACTACCCACCCGTCATATTCATCTCACGAGTTGTGCTTGGAGCGTCGCAACGAGACGAGCCCCAGCCACAGCCAGATGTCGCGCAATTCTAGCAGGAAAAGCAGCAATTCATTACGCGTTAACCAGTCCACTAAAATTGAAGGTTAGTTACTAACGGTTCAATGGATCCTTTTGATCGATGCGATGATTTGATCCTATGATCGAATGGAGGTACAAAATAGGTACCGACTACCCTTTAAACGATAGATCAGGTTTTCAACTATAGTAATCATTAGATTGGTTAAATTAAACTAAAATTATTAAAAAAAAACACTTCAGCTAAGCGAAAATGAATCAAGATCGACAAATTATTAACAATATCGCTGTTTTCATGATTCTATAACTAAATAAGATTCAATTTAATTCAATATTCCTTCTTTTTAAATCCTCAGTAAAACTAAAGCAAAGAAAAGTTATAAAAAACATAATTAATGGATGAAACAGTAGACACAAAAACGAGCAAACTTCTAGAGCGGTCATTAATCATGTTTATCCGCTTTACTTTAGACTTTAGGCACTTGATGCGTCGTCCGTCTACTCTAGAAGTTCACACAGCGAGAGTTTCGCTCAAGGACATCGTCTGTTACCTCTCTCTATTGGAAGCCGGCCGTCCTGAAGATAAATTAGAGTGTAAGTATGAAATGTAATTTAGTTTACGTCATACTACCTGTTGCATGCGAGTTCGTCCACGTGAAATTAAAAAAAAATGGCATGTTACTCAGCGATAACGTGGCTTTTTAATGGTGAAATAATTTTTGAAATCGGCCCAGTAGTTTTTGAGTTTTTCCAATACATACTAATCTTTCCACTTTGCAATATTTTGACTTGATGACTAGATTATAATTATTTAAAAGCACAGTAATTCGCCAATATTTGGTCATTTTAAAAGTAGTGTTATAGATATTGGAAATACATTGTTAAATTTCTCTATGGCGTTTAGTAGGTAGTTGTAAAAATCTATTTTATTTCTTAGTCATGTTTCGACTATACGACACCGATGGCAACGGAGTTCTGGACACCAATGAAATGGATTGCATCGTCAACCAAATGATGACAGTCGCTGAATACCTCGGATGGGAGACTTCGGAACTCAGGCCGGTGTGTACTTTTTAAATGTACAGTAAATAATAAAGTATAACCTTTCTTTATTAAAAAATAGTTTCTTCTACTATACGCCTCACTTTTGTCGTGGTATTTGCACCGGTCTTGAGAATGCTCTACACTCTTCCAATGATCAAATTCACTTAATATTTTACATTGTTGACAGATTCTACAAGACATGATGGTGGAAATAGATTATGACGCCGATGGTACAGTTTCGCTGGACGAATGGAAAAGAGGCGGGTAAGAAACAAACGATGATTCCTCGATTTAAATTTTGTTGTCGTAGATTAAACATTCATCCAAAGTATTTCATTTCGTTTTTTCAGTATGACAACTATACCACTGCTAGTTCTGTTAGGCTTAGACACGAATGTTAAAGAGGACGGAGAGCACGCGTGGCGACTGAAGCACTTCAACCGGCCGGCGTACTGCAACCTCTGCCTCAACATGCTCGTCGGGCTCGGGAAGAAGGGCCTTTGTTGCATATGTAGGTATACCGGCATCAGCTTTAGAAGAACATCTGAAGTCGTTAACATCATTCTGATCCAATTTAAATGTAGGATCTTTGCTAGTAAACTTTTCTATAATCAACAGATAATGTAATGTTTAAACTGTATTTATTATGCCTAGTTCACACTAGTCAGTTAGTTGAGGATCCAATTGGAGTGCTACTGACCAATTGTCCTGGCCAAGTGTAAACCGTGCATTAGACCTTCTCTCTTTCTCCTTCTTTATTACTCTGATATGTTCATTAGTCTGCAAGTTCACGGTCCACGAGCGATGCGTGCAGCGCGCCCCCGCCTCCTGCATAGCGACATACTCCAAACGACGCGCCTCCGCCACTCTCGCGCATCACTGGGTTGAAGGTACAGAGAGCCTTATTGAAGAAGCCTTATTATCCTTTTAGGTGAATTATATTGAACAATCCATGAACTGTATGTTTTCAGGTAATTGTCACGGAAAATGTGCGCGGTGTCGGAAAAAGATCAAAGGGTACAACGGAATTACCGGCCTCCACTGTCGCTGGTGTCATATTACCGTGAGTCCCCTATTTCTTAGATCGTGCGGCACATCTTTGACTCAACTATCACACAACTGTTGTTGATTGTTTCGCAGGCACCTGTTTAGTTGTACAACTAAAAATCGAGTAGTGTGGAATGAAAGGAAGACTAAGCAGTTGTGCGATAGTTTAGTCAAATATGTGTGTGCGCTCTTAATATATTGATGTTTCATATGTATTCTTTTTGCACAGTAATATTGTTATTGCAGCTTCACAACCGGTGCGTGGGCAGCGCCGGCGGGGCGTGCTCGCTGGGCCGCCACGCGCGACACATCCTGCCGCCCACCGCCATCCGCCCGCTCGTGCTGGACCGCCAGCGCTCGCTGCCGCACAGACACAACCACGACCAGGTACAACATGACACACTGTCGACATTTAGTGTCTATGTCCTCTGTTGATAAGAACTATCTTCTTTAACCAGTGAACTCCAAAACAACACTTCATTGTAACTATCTTCGTTGTATCTACATCTATTTGCATAGACTTAGATAGCCTATCGTGCCTGCCATTTCGTCTAAATAATCGTCCCTTGGCCGCCTCAAAGGACCATTACTTTTTCTAATCAATTCAACTTTCTTTTACTTCTTGCTCTTTAATTCTACGTTATGTTAATCAGAAATAAACTGTCATATTTACATTGTTTCCAGCAAACTCTACCAGTGTCGATATCACTGCCACTGTCTATATCGGCATCAGCAGAAGAGAAGAAAGAAGAGAAGAAGGAGGCTCGCGCGCCGCCCATATCATTCCAGATAACGCCGCCGGAGGGCTCGTGGCCGTTGCTCGTGTTCATCAACCCCAAGTCGGGGGGGCGGCAGGGCGCGCGCGTGCTGCGCAAGCTGCAATACATCCTCAACCCGCGCCAGGTACACGACATCGCTAAAGGCGGACCAATGCAAGGTAATTTACTTTCAAATACACCTTTAGTTACGTATTTTAATAATCTAATGTTTGCAGTTAGAATTTATGTTTTGTAATTTTCTTTATGCCAGGTCTGCAGATGTTCAAAGATGTAAAAAACTACAGAGTGATTTGTTGCGGTGGAGATGGAACGGTCGGCTGGGTTCTGGAAACTATGGGTAAATGTTTGCTGTATTACAATATTTCAATAAGAGTACTTTACATCATACTTTTAGACCTATCTATAGGAACCGAAAAAGGAAGTTCGAAGTTAATGTATTTTATGAATTGTAGATAAAGTGGCAATGGAGTCGCAGCCCGCCGTGGGCGTCATCCCGCTCGGCACCGGCAACGACCTGGCCAGGTGTCTGCGCTGGGGGGGAGGGTAAGTAAACCCTTGCAATTGTTATTTATTAACACAGATTATAAACAATTAGGATTAATAAAGGTCACACAACGCTTCTATACAGAAAAAAGTATAGATGCATTCTGTAAAGTCTATAAAGGGTATGCTTAAGAGGAGGAGAGTAATTGCAGACAAGACAGCTGATAGATATTTATAGAAGAGCAGAAATTACTGTACTGACCCTCCGATGGCCCAAGGGCAGGTTGATGATGGCACGTAACAATTGTTTTATAACATCTAATCTTCGTGTTACAGATATGAAGGGGAGTCAATTCATAAGATTCTGGATAAAATAGCGCGCGCGAGCACCGTCATGATGGACCGCTGGCAGATACACGTCGAGAACAGCAACGCTGCCGTGAGTGTTTTATCTTGACTACTTTTAAATACGTTGCTTTTCGTTGGAAATTACTGACTGATATATCTTTTTTAAACCGCGCACATTGAATACTGATGGTAATTATTAACGTATTTATTTGTAATGTTGAATTACCAAAATTTAAAGATCACCTACTGATAAATCGGCAATGATCTTAGTTTTCCTACACGATTTTGATGCACGTTGTTTTCATCTCCTTCAATCCATCTTAAACCTGTCCTATAGACATTTGCACTAATACCTTAGACTTTATTACATACTGAATGGTGATTTCGCCCGAATATTTGGTAGTAGCTATACAAGTCGATGACAACAAAATTTATTTGAATTTTGTCGGTGTACTTTCCGTCCATCGGACGTCATTTAATTTGTCACTGTCCATACAAATAGTTACTTGCAAATTTTTGTGCTAAGCGACCAGGTCTAAAAAGCCGTTCCTGCTAGATTAGAATTAGCCCAGTCTTCAAAGCCACAATATACACTTTATTAACTACGCACTCCAATAGTTTTGCAGTAGATTTAAGGAAGTAAGACATTTATGGAATATTCTTTGTTTCCAGTGTGAGCAACTTCAGATGCCGGACTCTGCGCCTCATCCCACATCTGTTCCATACAACATTATAAACAACTATTTCTCTATAGGCGTGGTAAGTCGTTTATATTAACCACAGTACAAATAACCAAACCAAAGTATACTCCTCGCATTTTAACTGTGACTTTCTAATGGCAAAACGTCTTTACAAAACTATAGTCATCTCTCTCTCTCTTTTGAAAAAGACAACGTAATCACATAATAATCATTGCAGGACGCAGCGATCTGTGTGAAGTTCCACACGGAGCGGGAACGTAACCCGGACAAGTTCAGTTCGCGGATGAAGAACAAGCTGTGGTACTTCGAGTTCGCCACCTCGGAGCAGTTCGCCGCCAGCTGCAAGAACCTGCACGACCACATCGACCTCGTGGTACTCACGCCTTAGTACGCTGTAGTACACTTACAGATAGAGATGGCTAACCGGATATTGTGTGACCACATTTTCACATTCCGCAATATGCTGGATTGCTGATGTTTTCTCTTCTTTTATTCACTATCAGATGTAGGGATGTTACCTCCTAAAGGATATGATAATCGCCTCCACATACTAATTTAGATATTTTGATAAAAGAAGTATTTGATATGCATCCTCTGCGCCCTTACCTATTCAATCATACTTTAACATAGTAAATGTAAAAGTATGGATGAATATTTGTATCGTATCTCTTGAACGGCTTAACGAATTACGATGACTTTTGGCATAGATGTATATCATAGTCTGGAAGAAAATATAACATACTAAGGGCCTGTCCCACCAAATTGTAAATTGTCTGATAACAATCCAAAGTAAAATATGTGTTGGAAATATAGGATTTTATTTCCTTATCTGAAAGTGACATCATTTTTAAACTATCTGAGCCTCTATCAGCTGCTGGGACAAGCCCTAAGTGTTCTTTTATTCGCGGACAAAGTCTAGTATTGAAATGAATGACTTATACTAGCTTGGTATACAATGTAGTGCGACGGCACTTCGCTGGAGCTGAGCAAGGGGCCGGCGCTGCAGGGCGTGGCGCTGCTCAACATCCCGTACGCGCACGGCGGCTCCAACCTGTGGGGCGCGAGCGGCGCGCACCGCCGCGGCCGCTTCCCCAACGCGCACCAAGGTAGGCGCCCACCACACTTAGGGCAATTAGGATAATTACACTTAATTGGACATAGGTTTTTGGAGCAAAAAAATATCCACCAACACACTTAAACCAACATCTAAAACTAGTTCAGTAGATTTATTATTTTTTTTTTAATTAAAGGTTGACCTCTTATGTTTCTCGTCTTACAATTAGTGACAACATTTTGTCATCTATAATCACGAATATCACGTTCGTCAAAGTGGTTAGCGATCACAGAAAGAACTATACTAAAAATGTTCTGTTTTAAAGAGTTGTGATAACATTTCTATGGTTCTAATTTTAATCCCTTTATATTCCCACCCTTTCTTGTAAGGAATGGATGAGAAGAGAAAGAGAACTTGACGGTAGAAGAGACACATAAGAAGGAAAAATGTCCTCTTTGTGTGTGTCTCCTCTTCCTCCTCTATCGATTAAAGGATGGGCAATGCATCTACAATTGCAGATATCTATAGACAACTATGGATTAAGGACGCTACTTACTTCTTCGTAAAATAAAAAAAATGATACCATGTGATTTGTATGTGCATTTAAATTCATAATTTCAATAAGGTCTGACTTAGTCCAATAGATTAATATTAGGTTTATACGATTTATAATTGAACCTGTTATCACCTGCCACTGGCAAAACAATTAGCTCAATTTCATAAGATTTATTGAAGGTTACCAAATTAAATTCGAAGTCAAGTACATTTCTAGCGTGATGATTATCATTCCGTGACATATAGTGGTAATTACGAGCGTTAGTGAAATGTAATTTTAAATGTTGCCAGCCTATTTTCGCCGCAAGGCATTATTACCAGTGCTACGACCTTGTAACGTGCGCTCGACTCGTAAATAGACTAGTTAATGTATGTGTTTATCTTGAGTAATTAATCTTCATACAACAGGCGTAATTTTGATTTAGGAAGTGACATTTTTAGATCAAATGTAAAAACAAAACAAGGAATTAGTTCGACAGTATTAGTTTGTCGACAATATTAATATTTGAATGATTTGAAGGGTTTTTTGCACTTGGGTTTTTGAGGGTTTTTGGTCAATTTATTCTGGGTAACTACAAAATTTCTTAACTTCCAGACATCGGCGACAAACTGATAGAAGTCATCGGTTTGGAAAATTGCCTACATATGGGACAAGTACGGACAGGTGAGACTTTATTTAATACAAATTGGT